GAGTAAGTCTTTGTACACCAGAACAAAATTTCACATAAATATTCTATAGGATTTCCATGGAAATCTTATAGAAGACTCGTTGTTGCAGAGCGAGGGTATTCTCATACCGACACACCCCGCTGGTGACGCCATCTCCATCTCCAGCGCGAACGACATTGCTCCATCACCTGTCCCGCTTAAAACTGACAATGCCAAGGTAAGTGCGACGGAGACAATTGTACTTTTTAATGCTTGGGCTGTTGAATTTATATGACGTGTATTGATAATGAAAAATTGAATTTGATTTTGATAAATGTGGTTTGAAAGAGAACGTGGACAGTGTGGTTCCTCGAGCTCCTTGTGAAAGAGTTCGTCCAGGGAAGTAAAGCCACCTTACCTATTTTTGTCGCCAAGTAGTAATGAAGGCATTACTGCGTTCCGGTTTAGAAGGGTGCTGGTGAAATTACTGGCACATGGGACTTGTCAACTTATGTCTCAGGGTGACGGGCGCAGCGGCAGTGCCTATAAGACCTTTGCGATTGCTCTGAGTGGCACTGCAACTGTTAAGGATAGGCATGGTAGTAGGCGACACACACATGTGTCGCCTACCACCAGGCGCACGACTTGAAAAAAGGACGAAGTGACAGAGAGGTGGTTTGATGCAAGTAAATTGGCGTAAGAGATACATAGAGTCAACATTCGAAGAGAACGACCACGGAAGACGTTCTCAGATCAAATCGAGAATGTTCTTGGATGTTCGTGCCTAGTGAGAAGAACATCGACAATGCATGTGTGAAAATATTTATGAATGCAATTAAAGCAACAGAAAAATTAAACATTTTTAAACTTAGAAAAATGTTCTTATTTAGTGCAAGCACCACACGGCCTTTTTGGCCAAACCATTACTTTGACATCTACAATTAATAGCAGGTATATGGTAAAAAATGGCGCATTTAACAAAGTCATTGCTTTTAGTCGCCTGTATCAAGCTCAAAGGGCGCCGAGGGCGGGGGTGGTGGCGGTGGCGGCGGTGGAGGCGGTCGGACGAAGAAGAAAAGCTGGTACAATGCATTTTATCCCACGTACAAGAGCAAGTCGGATGATTTCAAACGGTTGTTTAAAGATCTGCCCGACGACGAGAGACTCATAGTAGGTAAGTTCTGTGGTCACAGCGGCACTGGTCAAACTGTTCAAAATTATACCTTACATCATTATAATATTTTATATATTTGTATTATTAGTGTGCGTTAATTTGAACTGAGCAGTCTATCGTTAAATCATTCTTGCATGATATTTGGTCGTAACTTCGAAGAACTAAAAATTGTCTGGTTTCTTAATTATTCTCCATACAAAATGTAATCAGAGGACTTGTTTTTATATCGGACGTTTTTTTATTATTGTGAAAGTGAAAGTTGCGTGAGGCTGTGTCCAGCAGTGGACGTTTTCGGCTGAAATTATGACGATGATGACAAGAAGAGCTAGTAGTGTAAATTTGTCATGGTGTTGGTTTCAGACTACTCCTGCGCACTGCAAAAGGACATCCTTGCGCACGGGCGCCTGTACGCGTCGCAGAACTACCTCTGCTTCTACGCGAGCATCTTCGGCTGGGAGACCAGCATGTCGCTGCGATGGAAGGACGTCACCGCCATCACCAAGGAGAAGACCGCGCTGGTGAGGATCTCTCCTATTAATTATTGCATTACTGTAAACATTCATGGACCACAAGAGATATTTTAGTATTTTATGCAAACATTGCATAATGAGGGTTACAGTTGAATGGTAACGATATTTTAAGACCTAATTATGTAATGATTGCATACAACACTTTTTCTACGAGTAAATTAAATATAGAAACAGAACTAATATTTAATGTATATTTTGTAAACAATCCATGACAACAAACGCAATTTTTTTTAAATTAAATTTTAACCCATTTATTACGGTAGGCAAAGGTTCCACCATACAGCCTCTTCATATATTTAGACGACTGCCAAACAAACGCTACAAAACAAAAACCAAAGAGACAGAATAGAACTGGCCAAGTACCGCATATATTTTAACAATTTTTTTTTTTTTCAAAAAAAGATTTATGCTCCGGTTGCAAGAGTTTTAGGCCAATTTCACCAATCAGGAGGCAGTAGAGCGTTTAAATAGCGTTCTAATTGATATTTTAATTATCAAAAATGCGACGTTCTTTTTTTTGAAACTCAGCTCAGTGGCGAGTACCATAGACAATGGAATTTTGATTCAGAACTAAAAAGAGCGCCTTTAATATGTGGTTTATGAAATCATAATTGACAGATTAAAATACAGGAGTAGAAAAAAATTATTTATTTTCCCGATTCCTAAATTGAAAAGGAAATATATTCATTTCATTTCATTCATATATTTTCGGATCTAAATCTCATATATTTGTTTTGTCAAACAAACCAACGTTTCGGGCCTTTTATATGTCCCATGATCACTGCTGTGTGAGATGGTAAAGTCATCAACTAGTTATGTATATCTAATATTAATGCAATCCACCCTACTCTGAACTATAGTTACAAAAGTTGTAATTGAAGTTGATTGATCGGGATTGTAATACCCTATCGATGCCTTACTTTCTCAAACTCGATCTTATAAAGAGTGATTATTTAGGAGATGGCAAAACTTTCTATTTATTTTATTAAGGGGTTCTTTTTTTATAAGAAAATTAGTGCGCATTTGACTTCCATTTGACCTGATGGAAAGCGGTAATGTCGACGATGTGGCATGCATACTTAAATAATGCCTATTCACTCTCGCCTTGAAAAGGCCAAGTTACGGTGTTCAGGGAACAAGTCTGCAGGCAGGGAATTCCATCCAATTCGTTAGGTCTGCCGGTACGTTCTGTAGCTCAGTTGAGAAAGCGTCGTTCGCTACCAGCCTTTGTATTAATACAATATTTATCGAGTTCTTAGGTTTTCGCCATTGTTACACATAGGAAATGAAACTATTTTTCCGGATTTTTGACTATCAACCGTGACCATGGGACTTGTAAAGTGCCCGAAACGTTGTTTTGTTTGAAAAAACAAATATGCGCGATTTAAATCCGGAAAATTAGTTTCATTTCCTAAGTACAATATTTGTTTTTACTTTTTTAACCGACTTAAAAAAAGGAGGAGGTTCTCAATTCGACTGTATTTTTTTGTTTTGTATGTAGGTATGTTACAGGATAACTCATTTGTAAACCGATTTTCATGATTCTTTTTTGTTGGAAAGAGGGTGCCCCAGTATTGGTCCCATTTAAATTTGAAGACAATATTCCACCTCTAAAGGTGGCAAACTAGGTTATGAATCCGGTTTAGCGCACTTTTCGTTAACCGATTTCGATAAAGCCTGTAATCCGACCGACCATGTAATCCGCGAACTTTTGAGGTTTTTAGTATTTTGTACTGAGATTATTACTATTAAACTTATTTTAAAAGGAAATCCCAAACAAAATAAAGAAAACATATTAATTGGTAGCAGTACAGTCCTGTCTGCTTGGGATTTTTCATCAGAGGAAATACTAAATAGTAGTTTCATTTCCAATCGCGAAAATCTAAGAACTCGATAAATGTACTCTTCATATCCGATTTATGATAATTATGTATACACCGCTTATCAACCTTGTTATCAAAAGTCTTGACCATCGAGTATATAAACAGAAATAGAGACGAAATGTCATTTAATTTGTTTGAAAACTATTCTGCCATATCATTACGGTGACAACTGCACTCCGATTGGCCAGCCGAATTCGAAACAATTGACGGGTGTTGCCAATTCTTTCACTTCAAAACGACCAGTTTAACTTGAGCTTTGCTACAATGAACGAATATTGTAAAATTACATTTAATACTTAATCACCGATGAAATGTGGTTCCGTTTGTTTTGTAATTAGATGTTTTGCTGTTTTTCCCCACACCACCAAATAGAACAGCACCCCATTGTTAGAGATATTATCTTTATTACAATAAATACAGAATATTTTCGGAATATACGGAGACGTACACACAGGTCAGTTGCTGGCGTTGTACTTTTCCGTTTTCTAATTTGTGATTTCAGCGCAAAAGAGAGTTGATATTTAATAGCGACAGAAGGCCTATTTGCATGATGAGTTGTCAGGGATGGCTGGCCCTTATTTCGTCTTTATTTCTGGTTATATATTCGATAGTCTTGACAAACTAGCTTAGGCCGATTTCTATTGTAATAAGCATTGTTTGCTATGTTGTCAAAAAGATTTTCTTTCCAAGGTGATCCCGAACGCGATCTTAGTGTGCACCGACGGCGAGAAGAATTTCCTCACATCGTTCACGGGTCGGGACAAGGCGTACCTCGTCCTGTTCCGCATCTGGCAGAACGCGCTCATGGACCAGCCTATGACCAGTCAGGAATACTGGCAGTGGGTAAGTTACTTAACGATAAACGTACATAAAAAAATTATGATTTTGAAGACATAATTCTACCCTTGTTGTTTCTAATCAGGAATTTTACAATGTACAGGAACATAACTAAACCTATATGTGAGAGGTAGAGGTGCTTAAAAAAGTCCATATTTTAGAATTTAGATGTTTTTACAAACATTTGTGACATTGCAAATTTTAACGTTGCGTGCATACTATTTTTAATTAATCTCACAATCGGGTTAAAAAAGAAATAGCAAATTTGTTATGATATTCCAAAAACCTTAGAATAATAACGCATAGAATGATAGTTTCGTATCAAACGAACTGTCACAAGTGAGGCAAAAATCAAATTCATGTAGGCTAGTTTTAGTAGTAGGTTAATTTTCGGTTTTAGTGAATATTTATATAAAAATACAGGTTGAAACGCGTTACTTCCTTGTGGAATGTGATGTTCGTATCTATTTTATGTCTGTCTGACGTATTTTTACACTCATTTACCGCACACTTCGTCATTTTTAGCTAAAATTCTTGAGCGTGCAAAGTTCGCTGTGCAAGTTAACCTTGAGCACTGAAGACCCGCCCGCTCGTGTAGGCCCATTGGGAGCGCTTCAATTTGCCTCACTTAGCGTGTGCGGGCTAGGTTTCTATGTGTTATTATTCTAAGCCAAAAACAAACAATTGTTACTTAAATTAGTTTCAATTGTAAATTTAAGTAACAATTGCAGTATATAAAGTAGATAGAAACTGTGGTCGTAGCATGGCGGAATGTTTGTGATAAACTTCCCCGTGACAATATTTAATTCAGTTGATAAATCTAAGTTTGCTTTTTTGGTAATGAACTATTGTTACACATTTTGAAGAACAAAGACAACGGTATGAAATTGCGAATATAGATATTTTTATCGTTCAATCATCGCCGCGAAAACGATGAAACAAAAAATGACGAAGCTACATTTGCTTATTTGGTAATTAACTATTGTTGTACATTTTGAAGAACAAGGACGACGAGATGAAATTGCGTATAAAGCTAGCTATTTTTATCGTTCAGTCATCGCAACGAAAACGATGAAACATAAAATATCTTAATTATTAATACAAAGATCGAACACTCAGAAAAAAATCCTGAAATTCGTGAATTCCGCTGCGTCGGTCCGTGGCTTAGTTGGTATAGCGTCTGCCACGGTATGCCATTTTTTCTAAGATTAGGCTAAGTTAAGGATTTTTGTCTAAGTGTTCTTCATCTTTGTATTAATAATTATAACAAACTAGTGGAGTAATTTCACAAAATATAACTGAATATCAATTCAATAAAAATTTAAAAAATATGTCTTTTCATTTCGTTTGTCGCGCTCAGTTTTTACGTTGATAAAATTACTGTGTTTTAAAATCAGCTGTGACCTTGCAGCCATGTTTGGCACTGTGTTAATCTTTTGCAGTCATTCGTCCCCGGCGCTCGCGGTGACATTAAAATGTGACGTCACAGTGCTCGCTATGTTCGCTATTGTGATAAAATTTTTAAATGGCGGTGATAAAATCGAAATTGACAGTAAAGTGTGGATATAATAGCTTTATCGAGGCAGCATACGGGGGCTGAAATGATAAAGATAAAAATAAATTACCTCAACTAGTTGATGTGTAAAACGGAATATTTATCCATAGAAATTTACACATACAATCGATAACATGAATCGGCTGTTGCGTATCTCGCGTCAATACGTGTGCATACACCTTGAATACGGGTCCTTTTCTTTAGTTTTTGGAGTAATTGTTCAAGTTTCGTTTCGTTGCTATTGATTTAACTATTTTGTTGACTTTTTGTTTGGTTGTTGTTGATTTTTTATTTGTTATGTAGTTTTTTAGTAACTTAATAACGTAATAATTGAATCCTTTTTATTTTGTGTATTATTTATTCTTAAACTATAGTCTCTAAATCGATTCTCTCTTCGTTACAGACTATTTCGATAAGACGATTATTCGATATAATTCGAGATAATTCGATTTTACATCAGTAAAATCAGTCTAAAGTAAAATAATAATAAATAATAAAAAAAAGTAAAGTCGTCTATAGAAACTTGTATGAGATAACATGCTATGTGAAATGGACTATAAGTCCCATCGTCGTTTGTTTTCTGTTTCATATTTTATTTGACGTTAAGATTGATTTTAAATGCCTAATTAAGAGCCTCAAGCTGGATTTACATTTGTCTGACGTGTCGTGTCGTGACGCGTCAGAAAGGTATCGGTTTCATACGTTTATTATGGTTAGATATAAATAAGTGTGTCACAATCTGACGTGACGGTTCGTGCAGTTTGTACGAAACCGATATCATTTTGACGCGTCACGACATGACACTTAAGACAAATGTAAATCCGGCTTCACTGTCTTTAAAACTTTCTGTAATTTTTGACACTTACACTTTTTACCTCTAACCTACAGACATGTATAAATGCTCCATTCGTTATTTACAATCTTATTTTTTTTAAGTAATAGATTAATTATGTTGCTCCGTTACCAGGTAAATTCTGCAATGTTTTATATATGGAGCATTGAGACACGGGTTTGTAAAGATTAATTACCACCGCAAGCACTTTGTTTCCTCTTTTCTAATGTATACTTTAGAAGGAATGGAATACACCATCGGTATCTGTGTTTCCCGGAAACTACAATTTAGGGCTATTCAAGGCTGCAGTGAATAGGCAAACACATCGTCGGTTAACATCAGATTATGCGTTTATTTAAGTTTAGGAAATAAATAAAAAACATGTCGTTCAATAAAACAGTCTCCTCAATCGTTTGATAAAATTTATTAATATTTCCCCATTAAACATTAGCAACATAACATATTTTGTCATGCACACTTCGAGTCGGTCAAGGCATAGTATAATAAGTATGGTAATTCCGTACAAAATTAGTAGCGAGCTACTTATGAAATAATTCGTCCAGGGAAGTAGAATGTGAAAATTAATGCGTTCCGGCTTGTAAGGGTAAGGGTGCTGGTGAAATTACAGGCACATGGGACTTGTCAACTTATGTCTCATGGTGACGGACGCAGTGAGTGGCAGTGCCCCTCAGATAGGCGCACGACTTGTTCCTCCAGCCACTTAGTATCATAAAAGAAACTACCTTCTCTTTGCATTGGAGGTTAAAAACTGCATAAAATGTACAAAAATGTAGAGCGCTCCCATATCAATTTCGAATTTACACCTACCCTACAAACTAATGTCATATTTTAAACTGATACTGCGCAGTTTTTCTAAAGAAAAATCAACTATAAAGCATGAATGTCTTAACTGTAAAAATGAAACAGGCTCGGTGAAAACAACCGTCTCCAAGAGGCCGCGAATTTGAAATTTAAACACATTCAAATGACGGTCGTCGATGCGCTGAGCTACGACGTAAGTTCGAGCTCTTTTTGGCGTGATTGTATTCCATAGATCCGCGTTCTGGATAGACGTAATAGTGGACTATGTTGCGCCTGGGACAGAAATTTGAGTGTGCTTCGTTTCCACTGGACCGTGCTGTGTTACCATTTAAACGTTTATTTTGTATATGAGCATCTGCACCAAGTGATAGCGTTCAGGGAACAAATCTGCAAGCAAGGAATTTCACTCCATAACCTCAGAAGGATATGAATGTGGAAACTTAATATTTGGACAAGGTTTGTCGATTACAATAAATATATTTATTTGAATATAAAAAACTTACAATAAGAAAAGATTTCATAATTTAACCAGTGCATGGGTAATGTAAATTTTTTTAACGTAACATAATAGTAATAGTAAATAACGCACACGCTTATAGCCGCGCATTAGGGGCACCCTGGGTCTCGGGTGCCATGGACAAACATATAGGCAATCATAAATTATATCCAAACTTATGAGAGAAATAAATGTAGGTCATGAATCATTGATACATTTCTCTCGGCCCGGTAATCGTACCTGGGACCTCTGCGTGGCAGACCAGCAAGGTAATGTGTCAGAAAACCTAGGGAATTTCCTATACTAAGAACACCAGAGCAACGGAATTGAGTCTGGGACACTACCCGGAATACCCAGACTAGAATCCATTTAGAAAAGTTCATTTTCCAAATTAGTCTTACCGGAAAACTATTCTGGAGCCTCCTCATCCAGATCTCATGGTGCTAACCGTTTGATCACCGAGGTAAAAATCGTGCAGAATTTAAAAGCCAGCCGTGTTATCTTGTAGGCCCAAACAATTTATGTTATAGAACATAAATTGTTATATTGTTATATAACATTTAACTTATACGTGTAATATATTGCATAGAAATTGCGGCCTTCTGAAAGCTAAACTCTATAAAAAGAAAATTAAGTACAGTAATCAAATTAGTTATAAAATCAAAATATCCCTTTTCCTAAATTAATAAGTATTGCTATCAAGTGACGAGACAAACAAGCCGTGGGCTGCAGTAACACTTAGTAAAGATCTTAGGGGCACTGCCACTGCGTCCATCACCCTAAGACAAGTTGACAAGTCCCATGTGCCCGTAATTTCACCCCTTCCAAACCGGAACGCAGTAATGACCACATTACTGCTTGGCGGCAGAAATAGGTAAGGTGGCAGTACTTCCCTAGACGAACTCTTTCACAAGGAGCTCTATCGCTGCTAAGTCTGTATATGAAAAAACTAATGCGACAGAGAAAGAGACATGTCAGTAACTTAGAGACTAAAGTTTTTGCCTACCCTTGTGGGAGTCATAGATGATATGCAAGTTTTTACGGCTTGTTTGCTGTGATAAAAAAGTAGCACCGGCCCAGACTGCGCCGTACTAGTATACTACTAACCGTATCGTTATCACATTCGGTTCATAATTGAACATACCTTGTTTTGTTACTAATTACACTGAGTCTATCTAGGTCACTAGTCGCAGATTTATTTATGCAGTGTGAGTAGGCGTATATGTTGTTCAGTGAAATTGTTAACAAATATATTTTTTTTATTTCTATTTTGAACTGATTATGGGTACAGTTATGTAACA